CTGTGAGACGATTTGGTTGAAGTGAAAGATGTTAATTCGTTCCGATGTTGTCAATGCGAAATGGACAAGACTTATTTGAGAGAATTAGCGAAAGAGATTGTCGAGGAGATTGATTGTAGAGTAGGAAGGCTTAACCAAGTTAGAAAAACTTAAGAAAAAGATTGTAATGGAAAAGAGAAAAAGTTTTTGGATGATGTTTGTAATTGATCTTTCATGGATGGTGTTTGCAGTTGTGGTTAAGTTAGTGTAATTGTTATGTTATCCCTTTCAAATCTAATTATAATTCAACTATTTTATTATGAATGCAATGTTAAGTTTTGTTTCATTTCAATATGTTAAGTTATGTTATATTGTGCTATTGATAGAACTGATACCGACCACATTGAGCAAAAGACATATGTATAATTGATACAACAAGAACATAGATCAATAGGAACATAGTACAAATTAAGCTAGTTACATAATTTCAAGTTTGTTACATAAGTTCAAAATAGTACAACAAGAACATAGTACAAAATGAAAGAAACATAACAGATGCCCAAAACACGCACACTTGGTGCATAAGTCTGATACATTACATGAGAGATGCCCAACAAAACACAAAAGACATAAGTTGTAGAATTATAAAACATAACAGTTAATCTCTCATTTCTTGGTCTTCCAAGTCTTCAAAGACCTAGTTAAAACTCCAAGCTTGGCATCTTTTGAACAAGGTTTTTCTTCTTTTTCTGGTATGATAATTTACCGGTCACTAGAAGACTCCTGACATGTAATTAGTTTTTTGAACTAACTCAATTTGATCCTTTTACTTTGTCTTTTTTTAATGACGGGTTTTTTTCCTTCCTTCTTTCTTGTTTACTTTTTGTTTGAGTCAACCACACAAGATCTTGTTTGACTCATAACAGTTGGTAATGAGGGCTCTACAGTTTCAATCTCAGTTGGGGTAGCAGTCTCAGTTTGTCTACCAGTTAGGATAGCAGTCTCAGTCTGTCTACCAGTAAGCATTGCAGTTTCTGAACATGCTGCAGTCTCTGCATTTTCAGAAGTTGGTATCTTTTTACCTTTTCTCTACACAACCAATAATAACACAAAAAGTTAGATCATTGTAAAAGACTAAGTACAAACTTGTAAGAAGACTAATTACTTTTCTTTTAAGTGCATTTGCATTTTGTGTTAAGGCCTTGCAAGTCAATGCATTGTGACCAAACTCGTCACATTTAGTGCACTTGTATGCAACACCTGATTTTCTCCTCCTTGCCCCCATCTTCTCCACTTTCTCTTATCCTAATCTTTCTAGATCTTTCTGGACCATTCTTGTATGCATGAGGTAGAGGTGGTTCCATTTCAACTTCTGACCATATATCTTGTCCATTGATATGACTTATTGAATAACTATAACATTGTGCAAAATTTTCTCTTGTATAACAAACATCGACAAATTTATCAGGATTTTGTTTCCTATAGCTCAAAGCAGTCACAACATGCCTGCAAGGAATTCCTACTAATTCCCAGAAATTACAGCTACAAGACCTTTTAGAAATGTCAACAATAAATTCTTGAGTATTGTAGCTATGTGTAACCTGAAATGTTTCAGCCATGGACCAAGTAGGCAACCAGTGCCCTCTATTAAACACTTTATTATCTAACCTCCTTCTAGATATTGGCATCACTTTATGTGGTCAATTTTCTAGTTTACTATTAGATGTGACTAACCCATTCATAAGATATTTACTTATCCATTCACACATAGTCAAAATAGGTTTGTCACTAGCAACTAGAATGGTAGCTTTAAAAGACTCTGATATGTTATTCATCAAAACATCACATTTTGGATAAAAGTGAGGCATGATTACACCAACTCTTGGGAGGCACTGCCATCAACCAACTCCAAGTATTTGGATCTACATTCTTCAGCTCATCCATCTTTTATACCCATGCTTGATAGTAAGTGGCTTTAGCAGCCCCCGTCATCAATTTCCTAATAAAGGATCCATCATCAATCTTGTCAAACATTTCATCAAATACAGCCACAAACCCCTAAAACAAAAGAGAATGAACATTTGCAATACTTAATAAAGTTAGAGTTCAATGAAACTTTGAATGAAAGTTTGCAACAATTAATACATACCTTATGTTGATCTGAGATAAATACATATCTTTTATCTTGTTCAATGTCTTCCATCAGTAGTTGTATAAACCATCTCCAACTCTCCTTTGTTTCATTTTCAACCAAACCAAATGCCAAAGGGAAGTATTGGTCATTTGCATCCCTGCCCACAATAATTAGTAATTGTCCACCATACTTTGTCTTCAAGTGACATTCATCAACCCCCACAAAAGATCTGCATCCATTAATAAAACCTTTCTTACAGCCATCAAAATAGAAATAAAACAACCCAAACCCTGGTTGTATGGAAGGAAAAGGTCTCTCAATATTAATCTTGACAGTGTTGCCAGAATTTACCCTTGTTAACTCAGTTGCATACCTCCATAGGGAAGCATACTGATTGTTAGCATCACCTTCAATTATCTTCTTTGCAATTAACTTGGCCCTTCATGCTCTTGCAACACTTATACCCACTGAAATTTTTTGCCTAATATCCTGCATAATATCTCTTATCCTAACTGTATCACAAGTTTGCATCCTCTTTATCACATGCTTGGCCACCCACTTTGAGCTTGCAGACTTATTGTTCAAAATCCTAACACATGTATGGGTATCTACAAGTGTTTTTATAGCAAAGGTTTGTTGGTGGTCCACCCTAGAGCATAAGACTAAAAACCCACATTTATCCTTACACAATGGGCCTCATTTTTCATAAAAGTAATTTCTCTCTCATTTAGCACCGGCCACTCCCGAATTGCTTCCCTAAAGTCATTAAGGGGATTAAATTCCATGCTCCACTTGAATTTAAAGTCTTTATTTAGGTGCTATTTCCTATACTTCTCATACTTGGGCCTTTCATCATCATAAGAATCATCTAGATCAGAACTATTCAATTCATCACTATAGTATTGATCATCTTCATCCATACTCTTATTGGGCTTACACAAAAGCCCACTAAGACTTGCATCTTCATTAATAAGCAATGTTACATCTATTCCTTCAAAACCGTCAACAAGAGTGGTGGCCCTATCATCCTCATTGTCATCTAACCCTTCAACAATCTTCTCTTCTAACCCATTCATTTCCTTTTCCTCATTAACACAATTAGGTTCCTTATCCCCACTGTCCATTTCCTTTCTCAAAGAATGTTCCACAAATAAATCTCCAGTAATATTCATTGAACTAAAATACAAAGCAAAATTGACACCATCAACCCCTTTCTTATCAAAATAAATCCTTCTTGAATTTCTAAGACTTTTGCCCATACCCTAAAACTACCATCCTTATATCCTAATCTACTCACCAATTTCTCAATGTTATCCATTGTCCAATTTGCAACATATATCCCAGTTACAGTTGAATCAATCCCCCTCCATAAATGATTTCATCCTGATTAACCCCAGCGAATTCACCCCATGGTAAAAAATAACACAAAAATATTCTGAATCCTATGAATAAATCATACCCACACATCAAAAGTACAGATTTCGTAAACATTAAACCCAGTTACAAGTATACTATCGATTACCTTTGCAGAAGTTCATAAATCAACTTACCTGAGACATTAGTAGCTTCAGTGACAAATATTATGTCTTCGTTTTCGTCTTCTTCTTCGATTACCTTCGCGTGTCACAATTAGGGGTGTTCAAAACCAAACCGGCTCAATAGAAAACCGCAAAACCGAACCAAACCAAACCAAAACCGCAAAAAACCGCATTTGGTTCGGATGTGTTTGGGTCATTTTCTCGTGGAACCGTATGGTTCGGTTCCGTTTGCGGTTTGTATTTTACAAACCGAACCAAACCAAACAAAACCGCATTATGTTATAAAATCTTACTAACCAATATATATTTCTATAATTCTTTAGAGAAATCAATAATACAATGTATTATGTGTATATTTTATCATACTTTGTATTATATTCATTTTAATTTACAAATCATAAAAAATAAAATATTATTCATTTATAAATACTATTTTCACAAAATATATTTTATCATATTCTTTGTATAATATTTATTTAAGAATGCAATCTTGTTGATATCATTATTTATATTTAGATAAAATTATAATACGCAATTTTATGTATCAAATTATAAATTTATTTTGACAATTATAAATTTTTTATGGTAATGTATGAACAATTAAATATAAAATTATATTTTTCTATATATTTGTATGTATGACATAATAATTATTTTTGTAAAAAACCGAAACAACCGAACTAATCCAAACCGCATTAATTTGGTTTGGTTTGATTCGAATTTATTTTTAAAAGTCAACCAAACCAAATCGAACTGCATGTTTTTTTCTCTTGCGGTTCAGATGATTTTTTACTTCAAAACCGCCCAAACCGCACCGCGAACACCCCTAACCACAATGAGTCTTCGTCTTCAATTGGATCAAGCTTACGTTTTCGGAAATTTCCAAACTTCAGATGAACCCTAATTCTTCCAAGAGAGAAATTAACTACTATATATGTTATATACCAAATCAATAGTTTAAAATAATAATCCAAAATAACATGTGTATAAATTAACTAACACTGAGACCAACAAATACAAATATATTGCATAACACCTAATTAATAGAGGGTTTTTCTAAGGGGATTTACATAACAATAAGGAGGATTTAAAAAAAAAAACTTTACATTACATAGCTTTTGTATATTTAACTCTACATTTATTAACCGTTTTACTTAATATTGTGAAAACTAACAAGAGATAATGAGTGTAACCTATTACTTGCATGTCAGCCACGTGTGGAAGAAGCACATATACCTGTCACTACCCAGGCTCCCATTCTTACTTCATTTGTTCAGAATTTACACCTTTCTCAAGTTTATTTTATTCATTCTTCAAAACGTCTTGCCCTTTAGGACTCAAAACTACTCATGGCTTGCTTCAAACTTAATCTCCTACTTCTTGCATCTCTCTGTGCTTTCCTTCTCCTTTCCAACCCAGCGCACTGTAGTGGTACTTTTCTTCTCTCTAACACTTTCTATTCTCTCGCGTCTTTAACTTTCTGTTTCTCTTTTGGTTACTTTTTCATAAAATTTAAATTGTTTCACTAACTTTGATTGAAGCATGCATCTTATTTATGTTTCTGTATTAAACTTTGATTGAAGGAAATGAATTTAAATTTTTTGAAGTTTGCTTAATGATAATGATTAACACTTGATTGGTTGGGTTAGACAAAGTGGACAGTGTACTGAAGGGAATCAACAGCTACAGAGAGACAAAGAATGTTGCACCACTGAACAAAAATGACAAGGCAAGTTGTTTAGCTGATGAAGTTGCTGAAGAAATACAAGACACACCATGTGAAAAAGTGAGTCAATACTACCCAACTTCTGGTCCTGGTGGAAACCAAAGAATTCCCAATTTGCAAAGACATATAGATAAATGTGATATTAACATGAACACTACAACAGATGGAGTCATTCTACCTGTTTGTGTGCCTAAATTGGAACCAACTGTTGTGCTATCTAATTACACTCATAATGATATCTATGCAAAGTTTCTCAACAATTCAAAGTACACTGGAGTTGGACTTAATTCTGAGGATGATTGGATGGTTCTTGTTCTTACTACTACTACACCTACTGGAACTTTCTCTGCAGCAACTTCTCTTCATGCTAATCTTGTTTCGATGGCTTTCTTGTTTGTGGTGATTCTCATCATCAACTCCAAACCTTGACTGCTTTATTTCTAGCTTTTTAATGCTTCATTATGGATAATGGATAATGTATCAAGTTTAATTACTCTTTCTTTTGCTTGTGTAAATGTAGTATCAACTTTATTGGGAATTTATTTCTGCTGCGTTTTTAGTGCTTACTCTTCTATAATCTCTCACATGGCTATCACATTATTTGCTTGCTTGTTGTATGTTAAGTTCAAAAACTGAATCATATCGTAAACAATATCAGAAACAAACACTTCATCCTTAGAAAACAACTTTCATCACTAAGCTTATTTTCTTCTGGCTTCTTCAGGAAGGGAAAAAGTTGAGGTTGAAATCATAGTCACATCATTAAAACTCTAACTATTCTATCGGCACCAAATGGATTTATAGAAGAACAATGCAAAACATCTTTACCACTATTAAACTAATGAATAGAATCTTGATACATGGGACATCAATAATTGTTTAAGTGTGTCATGTATGCACTAATGGTGTATTGCAAGTCCATTTAAGTACTCATTCTTTTCTAAAATCATGCTTAACCACCAACTATACATAGTCATAGAGAGCCCTAATTTCAGGACTAATGCTTGACTTAGTTATTAATACATAGTCAAACACAAAAACAAAACACACAAAACACCCAATATTGAAAATTTCAAGGCGACATTGTCTCAGAAATTTCTAGATTGTCTCAAAATAATAATTTATTTCCTTTTTCAAAATAATAATTTATTTCCTTTTTCAATGTAACATTGATTAACTTTTACCAATTTTACTTGTCTACACTATTTTCAAATTATAACAATATATAACAATCAATAGTAGTTAAGGATAATTATCTTTATTGTCTCAATTTTTGTCTCAATTTTTTTTTTAATCTATGTGTAACAATTTAAACGACATTGAGATAGAGGAAATAATATTCTTAATTTTTTAATAGTTTATTTAACTTTTTCTCTCTATATATAATAATAATAATGGTTGAGGGTAATTTTGACAAAACAACAACTAATACTATCTTGAAAATATAACATTTAAAAAAGAATAATTTTTTTTTTAAAAATGACACTTAAAAAAAAACCGAAGAAATATCAAATTTCTCAAGGTTGGTATTAAACACCTGTCTCTAACTTTAGTTGCCAAGATTTAGATTACATGCAGTTAAAATATGCGATAATTATTTAACTCATCACATCTTTATTGTCAAATCGATAATACCCAACATCAAGAACTTAATGGAAAGATTGTCTTCAAAATCCCAAGTTGCACCGGTAATATGAACAACAAATGCAGAATGTTTCTATACATTGCCACAAATGAATGAATACACAAGGTTTAAGCTGTGAATTATATTTCAATTAGACTGTATTAATAAAATCCTATTAGGACAAAAAACTATTTCTTCGAAATATATTTCTCATTCATGCATTCCAGTTTCATCTTAAACTGATACCGTAAAAAGGTAGATCTTTAAAACAACGGATAGAGCCAACTGCAGCAGAAAAATGCCAGCAACAATGAAGAACCACTGTTCCCCTGCTGACTTGATATGAGCCCGTAGGTTAAGTGCGACAAATGTTGCTGACATGAACCCTGCCACACCTGCAATCACCCATCTGAATATATCCAGTGGGACAATGGACATGCACTGCACCAAACAAAAGGGTTTCACATGTGAGGATAGAATGCTTTGAAGATGTCAAATTATATACCTCCTTAAAATAAAAGGGAGAAAGTTGAAAATAAGTAGTGACTTACCAGAGCTGGAATAAAGATAAACAGGGAATATCCATATAGGCATAATAGTTGAACAAGTCCCGCTGGTACAGAGAAGTACTTGAGGACTACGTAAAGGCAAAGAGGAACGATAGTAACATAGCCATAAAACAAACCAGCAGACCAAGTCACCAGATTTATGTCATAGTTCCATTCCTGATCCTTCAGCTTGTGTGCTATATATGTCACAAATGTTCCCATAGATGCTGCTAGAAATATTAAAGTGGTACATATCCAGAATGGCCCATACCTGAGTACATTAACGGTGAACTCAAAATTAGATGCTGCGACACAACTAAAGGAACAAAGTTTACTCCTTTTTAATAAGGCAAAACTACATAACATGTTTCCCTCAAAGTTACAAAATGGGTAACGTCCTCTTCTTAAAACACCAGTATTCATGTAGTAATAAATTTGGCCATATACATTGTTTGTTTCCACAAATAAACAAGAAACTAAACAAAACTGGCATATAATTGAATTAGAGCAGAACAGAAACAACATTAGCCATGGAATCAAATTCATAACCAGCATAGGAGTGGCTCTCAAGTGATACAATTCAAGCTTTTAGGAGTGGACTACCTCTTATAGCAGAAATAAGTATTGCTGGATATTGACTAGTCTATCCCTCTATGGCTTAAGTAACTATTTAATCCCAGTAATACACACCAATTTTAGCTTTAACAATCCCTATAAAGCTTATAACAAATGCTTCCCGGTTTGAATCCCTAAAGTAAAAGTTGCTTTTGGTCCTTGTTTTGGTTTAAGCCATTTAACATAAATTGGAATTAATCTCCATAATATGCAGATCATTTTGATGTTAGTCCCAGGGATAGGAACTATATGGGAACTGATTCTAACACGGACAAAGTATCGCATGGATTAAAACCAATACAACAGTGATCAAAAGGAAATTTCCTATGTTTCATGAAAGGAAACTACAAAATATTGTTTTAGGGACTAAACCCAAAAAAACAGGTTTGGATTTTCCCGCACAAAACCTCTCTCTATCTCTCGTGTTATTTTTCTATCTACCTCTCAATTATTTTCTCACTTAATCACCCTTTCATTTTGTTCTTATACTTTCTCTCCTTTCACTCACAATTTATCTGTTGGAAAGGGATATGCAAAATGGGACAGGATCCAAACCCAAAAAAACTGTATAGTACAAAGTTATTTAAGCCCTGGCTATGCTAAGTTGTTTCTCCAGCTAATATGCATAAATTAGACAACCTTACTACTTATACAAGGCCATCTCTTTCGGTTGCAAAACGTAAGAGCCAATAGGTTTACTTGGTATGAGCGAACCAATAACAACTTATTAGCGATACAATATATCACGCGACTGTTTATTATGCTAGTTTCCGTAAGTAACTTCTTCACAAAGATAAATAGGTAAAAGATAATTCACCCCCAGCGCACCTCCCCTTCAAATAAAGGTGAAACATAATAAACTCGAGCATAAAACCCAAAATCACAAAGTGTTGTAGTTCATCATTAATGTCTTCTACATTATTTTGGCTCACAAGACATTACCATTTTAGCTACACCTTTTCGTCATAAAAATGATATTAACGATATTCACACTATAATTGAATATTGAAATATGTCATAACTCATGAGTTAAGTATTATTACTCTGATCAGTCAATTAAATGAGCAAAAGAAAAAGTCTACTCACAAATCAGGGTTGGTAGATGTTTTTTCATTAAAAGTTCCTCTGAATGGAAAAAGTGAGTCTATAATCCTCTCTAGAACATCTGAAGTGTCGACATCAAAGTATGGTTTGTAAGCAGCAACTGCAAAAGATCGAAGCCAACCACTTTGCTGAGGTTCATCGGAAGAACCACCAGATACAGGTTTTGAAAATGAATCTGCATAAAATAAGTCACTCAGTTTAACATGAACATGTCAGAATGATAAACAAGAAAACTAATTGCAAGAAGCACTAAAAAGACATGCTATAAATAGTAACCATAAACCCATGTTACCCTCACGGTTCCTTCTTCCAGCCATATCTTTCTAACTTCCATCAGACAATTACATATACAATATCGCTTAACTCAATATATTATACGGGTGTATCAAGTAAATGATGATAAACAAGTTCATGAAAGTCGAAGCTACATTCATAGGAGTGTTACTTAGCATAGCAATATTTCAGAACCTGTCAAGTATCGCTAAAATCAGTTAAACAGAAATCCCAGCATGTCATTTCATCTACTACTCCCTCCGGAATGAAATATAGGCAAAATGTGCTTCATATTTCTCTCAACATTCGTAATTTGATTAAATGTGACCTAATCACCTTTTTAATATGCGTTATTTGATCAATTTTACAACAACAACAACAACAACCAATCCTTCTATATGGATCAACTTCCGCCATAATGTTCTATCCATGACCATGACCATGCTTCTACTCAAATCGTTAATCTTGTGATTTACATTCCTTCTAACTGTTAATTTTCTAGGTCTTCCTCTACTTCTAACTATTTGACTCATCTCCATCTGATCTAGTCTACTTACCTCAAAATCTACATGTTTTCTCTCTACATGTCCAGACCACCTAAGTCTATTTTCCATCATCTCTTTTCTACCAAAAGTGCTACTCCAGCACTATCTCTAGATCATTCAACAAAGAAAATCATCACACTCTATTCTAATATATATTACAATCATTTAGAATATTAATTGCACATTAGCTAGCTATGATGAATTAGTAAAAACACATACTCACACACAGTCAAATAAAATATCATACTAGTAACTAGATCAGTTATAATGAGTAAAAGACTAGTGAAATGCATCTAGAAGCAAAATCAAATGTAGCACCGACACCTCTAAAAAAACATTTGTGCGTGTCAGGGTCAGTGTCTGAAACCGCACACACGGACTTGTGATTTCGATTAATTAATTCATTTTTTTCAAATTCTTATCAATGTTGACCTGTCAATGTCAGTGTTGGTGTGTGTTTCTGGTATCTGTGCGGCATAGAGCAAAACAACGAAACAAAAAATTAAAGAGCAACTAGCTCATACCATCTGCATCTCGAGGTGGTCTAGAACCACCGGTAATCTTTCCTTGTGCTTGCGATGGAGGAAATGTCTGAAGATTTGAATCTAACAAAACAAAAAGCATTCATCATCACATCAATTAGAGTGAAATCAACTCATCAATCATGTTAGAAAAAACAGATTCACAAGAAAATCACTTATGCAAACGAAACGAAAATGC